TTCTGTCAAGGGTGGGGCATCGAGCAGTCGTTCACGCTTCCGGGCTCACCGCAGCAAAATGGGGTTGCTGAGCGCTGCATTGGCTTGGTGATGGAGGTCGCTCGTACCTCCTTGATCCATGCAGCGGCTCCCCAATTTCTGTGGCCGTTTGCGGTCCGGTACGCCGCGCAGCAGCTCAACCTCTGGCCCCGTGTCTCCATGCCGGAGACCTCGCCCACACTGCGTTGGACGGGGGAGGTTGGCGATGCGTCGCGCTTCCGGGTTTGGGGTGCTCGTGCCCATGTCCGCGATACGTCCGCGGAAAAGCTCTCCTCCCGCACCATTCCCCGTGTCTTCCTTGGCTTTGTCCCTGACGCGCCTGGCTGGCAGTTCTACCACACCACCTCACGCCGAGTCCCGCCCTCTCAGGACGTCACCTTTGACGAGTCAGTTCCTTTCTACCGTCTCTTCCCCTACCGCACTACCCCTCTCCCTCCCCCGCCGCTTTTTCTCGCTCCAGCTCCCCCTCCGGTAGAACCTCTCCCCCCTCAGGGTCCTGCTCCTTCAGGTGTGTCTCAGGTAGACCTGCTCCCCTTGGCTGAGCCTGTAGAGGTCACTAGTGACTCAGGTGCTGCTTCGGGAGATGCTGCTGGAGGTGCTACGTCTGGGGGGTGCTGAGCCTGTGCGTGAGGTGCTCGAGGGTGCGGTGCCTGGGGGGTGCTGAGTCTGCTGGCGTTCCTCCGGGTCTCGTTTCCCAACGTGGGCCTCTCTCACCACAGCAGGCACGAGAGTGGCTTGCGTCGCGTACCCGCCTGAGGAGTCGTGCTACTGGAGCTGCTTGTCGTGGAGGCACTAGGAGTACTGGTGTCTCTGGTTCTAGAGGTGCTCGTACTGGAGGTACTGGAGCTGCCGGGCCTAGTACTACTCCTGGAGCTGGAGGTGTCGGTTCTGGGGGTGCTACTGCTGGAGGTACTGGGGTTGGAGGCCGTGGAGCTGGTGCTGTCGACCCTGGAGCTGGAGGTGCCGGTTCTTGGGGTGCTGCTGCTAGAGGTACTGGGGCTGGAGGCCCTGGAGCTGGTGCTGTCGACCCCAGAGCTGGAGGTGCCGGTTCTGGGGGTGCAGCTGCTGGAGGTACTAGGGCTAGAGGCCCTGGAGCTGGTGCTGTCGACCCCAGAGCTGGAGGTGCCGGTTCTGGGGGTGCTGACGCTGGAGGAGCAGGAGCTAGAGGCCCTGGAGCTAGTACTGTCGACACTAGAGTTGGGGACCCTGGGGCTGGAGGTGCCGGTTCCGGGGGTGCTGACGCTGGAGGAGCAGGAGCTAGAGGCCCTGGAGCTAGTACTGTCGACACTAGAGTTGGGGACCCTGGGGCTGGAGGTGCCGGTTCTGGGGGTGCTGCTGCTGGTGGCACTGGAGCTGGAGGTGCTGCTGCTGGAGGCGCTGGAGCTGGAGACGCTGCTGCTGGAGGCGCTGGAGCTGGAGGTTCTGGAGCTGCTGGAGGCGCTGGAGCTGGAGGTTCTGGAGCTGCTGGAGGCGCTGGAGCTGGGGGTTTTGGAGCTGCTGGAGGCGCTGGAGCTGGAGCATCTGGAGCTGCTAGAGGCGCTGGAGCTACTGGTGCTGGTGGCACTGCCCAGCCGCGACTGTTTTTCGCTCCGCCGTCACCGTCGTCTCTGCCGCCGCCTGACTCCGTGCTTCGCCAAGTTCTTAGCCTCCCGTCTTCTACTGGCCTCCCGTTACGGCCCGGCGCACCACTGCGTGTTCCTTCTCCTTACACTGAGCTGACAGACTCGCTTATAGAGCGTCGTGAGCTTGCGTCTCGTCCTGCCTCGCCTGTTCGCGCTCGTCGCACTGGTTGTCGTGCTCCTCGTGAGCGTTTGCCTCCTGTCCCTGGCACGCACGCTATGGCACTTCGTCCTTCCTCTGTTCCACAGCGTGTTACCCCGCCGTCTCCTCCTGCGTCCTCTCTTGCTGACGGACCCGACCCTAAGTCCGACCTGGTTCGTGATGCTCACCCTACTGTCACGCGTCAGCTTGCACCTGTTGTCACTGACCCGTCGTTTGAGTCTACTGCTGCGTCTGCCTTAAACTCTGAGCTTGTTGACTTTGCTGCTGCCTGTCGTCTAGACTTCGCTGTTAGTCTTGTTGCTGAGTCTGAGTCTGTCTGTCCTCCGTCCGTCGGGGGTGAGTGTGCTCTTGGCACGGACGTCCTTGAGGACAGGCAGGAGGACTTTGAGTGTCTTGCAGCCGCTGCGTCTCATCTCGCGGCCATGCTCCAGACATCCCGACCCCGCGCTCTTACGCTGAGGCGATCGCGGGTGAGTACTCTTCTCAGTGGAAGACAGCCATGGATGTAGAGATGGCATCTTGGAAGTTCACAGGCACTTACGTCGACGCTGTTCCCTCTCCTGGGGCGAACTTAGTCGATGACATGTGGATTTTCAGGGTGAAGCGGCCGCCGGGTTCTCCGCCTATCTTCAAGGCTCCTTACGTTGCACGAGGCTTCAGTCAGTGGCAGGGAGTTGACTTCTTCCAGACCTTCTCCCCTACCCCGAAGATGACCAGTCTTTGGGTGCTGCTGCACGTTGCCGCTCAGAGTGACTACAAGCTTCACTCTCTGGACTTCAGCACAGCATTCTTACAGGGCAGTCTGCAGAAGGAGATCCGGCTGCGCCGCCCACCTGGCTTCAGTGGATCGTTCCCTCCTGGTACCCAGTGGAGCCTCCGCCGGCCAGTCTACGGTCTTCGTCAGGCACCTCATGAGTGGCAGGACACACTGAGGACGACACTTACAGACTCTTGGGCTGACCCGTCGCTGTTTCTGCGCACCGACACTTCGTTGCCGCCGTTCTACATCCTTGTGTACGTCGACGACTTGGTCTTTGCCACTGCTGACACTGAGGCTCTCGCCCTGGTGAAGTCGGAGCTGCAGAAGAGACACACGTGCACAGACATGGGTGAGCTGCGCAGCTACCTTGGCCTGCAGATCACCCGGGACAGAGCACGGCGCACCATCACACTGACTCGGTCACACATGGTGCAGCAGGTCCTTCAGCGCTTCGGCTTCACTAGGTCCTTGCCACAGTCCACTCCCCTGGCTACATGTCACTCGCTCTCAGCTCCACCTTCGGACGAGTTCGTAGAGCTGAGTGGGTCGTACCTAGAGCTAGTGGGCTGCCTCATGTACCTCATGACCTACACTCTTCCTGACCTTGCATACCCTCTTGGCCTTCTGGCACGCTACGTGGCTCCTGGTAGCCACCGAAAGGTGCACTTCGATGTTGCGAAGAGGGTACTACGCTACTTGTGCAGTACATCGGGCAAGGGGGCTCGTGCTTGGAGGGCGGAGTCCAGTTGTCTTCACTGGGCACTCAGACGCTTCTTGGGTTGACGACCTGGCTACGCAACGGTCGTCACAGGGTTACACGTTCAGCCTTGGCTCTAGCTCTGTTTCTTGGCGGTCTACACGCTCGTCTTCTGTTTTCAGCTCCAGTTGTGAGGTTGAGATCTACGTCACAGCCATGGCTGCACATGAGTTATGCTGGCTCACCTACCTGCTGACCGACTTGGAAGAGAGGCCTCGTTCTCCTCCAGTTCTGTACGTCGACAACAAGGCTGCCATTGCCTTTTGTCAGGACCACAGACTGGAGCACAGAACGAAGCACATCGCTCTGCGTTACTTCCTGCTCGAGAGTTACAGCAGCGTGGTCAGCTTCATGTTGCTTACGTGCCCACCCAGGCCAACACGGCTAATGTGTTCACCAAGGACCTTCCGGCTGGTGATGATCAGCGCTTCTGCATTGCTCTAGGCCTGGTGCCTACGTTTCCTCACTTGCTGTAGACTTTGGTTGTACAGTACTATGGCAGGTATATACAAAAAATATATATACCTGCATGTTTACTCTTTCTAGGCAGTGATCACTGCACTGTTGTTGTTGCATACTATATACCTGTGCCTGTGAACTGGCCTTGTGGCCCTCTTGCTCGTGCTCGAAGTGTGTGGTGACGTTGTGATCCACCCTGAGCTTGCTTTTCTTTTCTTGACTGGTCTTGTGACCCCTTGTTCTCCCCACTTTGCCTATGGGGGTGTGTCAAACCATATTTGTGCTAGTTGTGTGTAAGCTATAGTGGGGTAGCCTATATGGGGTACAACCCAATATTAGGGTTAGTTGTACTTGTACCCACAATTCATTGAATGCAATCATCCCTGCTTACTATCTTGACAAGCCAGCATCGCACGGACAAGCTCTTGCTGGCTGACTCCTGGCCACATGCCGTAACGAGTGATTAGCCCCTTTCATGGGGTACTAGCTCATCCTAGCTCTCTGGATCCTGAGTAGGTGTTGTACCATACCATATGTATTTTTCTGTGTGCTTTACTGGCACCTAGGTCTGGCAGAATGCATCAGGGGTTTGAGGCACCTCACTACACTGCAGGGAGCAACAGTGAATCTCAGCAATCTGACACAGCATTCCCCAATACAGGTGCCAGCCAGCAAATAACAGAAGACATGGAAACCACTATATTTAGAAAGCTTGCTTTCTTGTGTTTGCAATGGCAACGAGCTTCGTTTCAAATGGATAAGTGGCAAACAGCCAGCATATACTCATTGATGCAAGTGGCAGAGTCAAGAAAACCTAGCAACCTGCTCCTTGCAGCCGTCCACAAAAACAGACTACTATATGATCAGTAACTATCACATCCATGCAGGAATGTTGTATCATGGTCACCACAATGGTAACAGTACTGTATTGTTGACTGGGGCCGGCGCAGGACTGATTCAGCCAGACGGGATGTGGCCATGCACATGTCCAGGCCGTGCCATGCTAGGAAAGGTGTGTTTGCTTGTGTATGTGTGAAGGCAGAGAAAAAAAAGTAGGTTGGAGGAAAGAGAAGTTTAGAAAGCCTAATAATACCTCGCACACTGTGTACATGTGTGAGGTGGATGGAAAGAGTGGAATGCGGTTCGTCCAGGGATTGGGGGAAATGGCTGGGATATGGGGGAGCATGGGAATTCATGAGCTTGTCAGCTGTTGAGGTCGATGTTGCATTGTGAGACAATGTCATCATCTGCTGCCACGTATTTGGTCCAGAAGTGCCGGAATGACTTGAGTGCCGTGTCCAACCAAGGTTTCTGCACACCACATGGCACACACAGAGGGGAGGCAGACAGATGAGGCCCACACATTTGGAAGAGGCACAGGAGCACAACAGGGAGACAGGAGATTTCAAAAGAGGATAAGCTCCAGGACTAGAGAAATGGGCAAAATACAGATGAAGCCCACACATTTGCTAAGAGCTGAACTCGTCAGTTGTAGTCACGAATGGATGAGTCAATGCACTCAGTGATCGTCCTCCATTCAAGTCCCACCCACTCACCCAGTTGCCATTGTAGTGCACGACAGCAGCGCCCTGTGCATCATCTACAGACACCTCCTTGTTGTACCCCAGCCCCAGCACGTGCCAGTGCGCGTCCAGAGGCTCCGTCAGGTTGTAGAACGTCATCAGCCCGGGCGGCAATGTGCCCAACTGCCACAGTGTGCGGTTCTCGTTCTGCCGGGGGGTAAGGGAGCGCCAGAGGAATAGAAACACAGGGGTATGAGAGTGAGATTTACAATGGGAATGAGGAGTCTGAGAAAGCAATTGGGAACGAGAGCTAGAATGGGTAGGGACAGGAGAATGAGCTACAGGTCTAGAATGAATACCAGCTTGCATCAATCACCCGCAGCCACCTGCCCCTCCCACTGTCTTACTCTCCTAATCCCAACCTCCATCCCAGCCCCCTCAAACCCCTGACCTGCCAGCCCCTCACTTCTTTCCAGTTCAATCAGGAGCTCCAGCCCCGCTTCTCTCCTCTTCCCCTCCACACAACCCACCATGCGCTGGTACTTGTGGTAGACCTCAGTGAGGTCGAGGCGGCGCCACGCCTCGAGGTCAAAGACGTTCATGCCATACGCCCACCCGCACCCTTTGGGCTCAAAGTGCTCCTTGACAAAGGGGTGCGAGAAGTTGAGGTACTTGTGCAGGCGGTGGAACTCGTCCTCATCGCGGCACGTGAACACCGCGCCGTTCACATTGCCGTGCAGCGGCAGCGAGAAGAGCGGCGACAAGTCCGACTGCACGACTATGTCGTCGTCCAGGAACACCACACGGTGGAGCGTCGGGTACATCTGCAGCAGCAAAATGGCACCATGGGCAGTTGGCATTGCACGCATACATGGGTGGGCGTTGGGACGTTAGAGCATTCCACCGTTTTAATGTAATGACGTTTTTATGATTAGATGTCAAACCGTGGGGAAAGTTAAAGAGGCAGGATGTTTACAAGGATGAGAGGGATGGGACCCGTTGAAGCAAGTGACAAGTGACAGGTTTGTGCGGGTCTGATTGAAGGAGGTCAGAATGGCATCGTCGTGGGACAAAGCAGAGAGGGATAACCACCCAAACCAGCAGCCACGCATGCTGCCAAGGGGGCCAAGGTAAGGTTGGGCGGTAGGTTGAATGGAGGGTTCCGGATGGGAACTCAGTGAAACGAAGTGATGATGAAAGCATGTAGGAGGGGCACGAGGAGCTGCAATGACGAAGGGATGAGAGGAAGCACTGACCTGTGGGGCCAGGAGTGCATGTGGTTTGGTAATGGAGATGACTTTTGAGCGCTTCTAAAGTCAACCTATGATTCCATTCAAGCGCTGAAAACGTTGTTCATGTAGATTTTTAGTTCTTTCCTGTGTGTGTGTGTGTGTGTGCGCGCGCGCGCGCGCTTGCGTGCGCATGTGTGCGTGGTGGTCAAAAGAGAGCACGGACCTGTGGGAGGTAGAAGCGCAGGTGGTTGAGCATGGAGAGGTACTTGGGGTTCTTGAACTTCACTGCTGTCTTGGCCTTGCCTGCTGGGCCACAGGGCACGAGAGGCGAGAGGAGAGACGAGTGAGTGAGAGGTGAGAGAGAGGCGAGAGTGAGAGAGAGGGGACAATTGCGAGAGGAAGGTGGAGAAGAGTGGTGAAGGAATAGGGAATACGGAACACAGATGCATCTCGTGCACAGTAGTGCAACAGTCACAACGAGTCGTTAAGAGAAAGTCACGAGGGCGAACCATGGGGGCAAGGAATGCGGAAGTCATGAGGCATCCCCTGCCCTGTTCACATGTCTCCTTCTTTCGTTTCTCAAACTCGCCACACAGCCCATCTCCCATCCCCCAAACATCCCAGCTCCCATCCCCAAAACACCCACCTCGCATTTCCCCACACACCCATTTCCCATCACCCATGCAACCATCTCCCACCACCCGTCCCTTGAACCTCCCTCTCCCCTTCCCCCCGCACCTTCCTCGTGCTGCGAAAAGTAGTACGTCTTGAGCGCGGCGGCCTGCAGCTGCTGCAGCACGGGGCAGTAGGAGGCGTTGAGGAACGTGAAGTGCTCCACGGCCTTGATCTCCAGCGCCATCTTGCCCGGCGGGTGCAGCGCAAACCACGTGCGCATGGCCGGCAGGTTCATCTCGTCCGTCACCACGTGGAACACGTGCCTGCACCGCGCAGGGGGACGGGTAGGGGGGTCGCGGGGAGGTGGGGAGGTGAGGAGGCGGGGAGGCGATGAGCAGGGAGGGACGAAACACAGGGTTTTTAGAATCTTTGGAAAGCAGGTGACGCGGATAACGAGGAAGAAAAAGGAAGAGAAATTAATCAGCGAGAAACCAAGTAACATTGTGCAGAACGGGAACGGAAGAAGAGGACGGAATGGAGAGCATGAGGGGCATGGGGGAATGACACGAGTCATGGACTAACGAGGCAGAGGGACTTGCACGGGGAGGGGAGGATTGGTTGCACGGGGAAGTATGTGGGAAGCGAGTCAGGGAGAGGGGAAGCGGAGGAGCTGAGCGAAGGACGAGTAAGGCAGAAAACCAGAACGAGTCTGAGACCAGGAAGGAGGTAGTGAGCGAGTGAGGGAGGGAGGGAGACCAGGAAGGAGCAAAAGCAGAGCCGTGTCAAACTCAAACGTGTCCCCCCTCCCCCCTTCTAGAAAGGACGAACAAAACGAGGGCTTCTTACTTCTCCGGTTCCTTGGTGTTCTGAACGGTGGAGTTGATAACGACAGAGACGGCGAGCACGTTATCGGAGAAGAGCGCGTAGTGGTGCAGCGACGGGTCCTTGAACTTGTCCGCCTGCTTCTGCTCCCGCGCCTTCGTCAGCTCCTTCATCTCGTCGTCCTTGCCGTACGCCTGCACTCGCACACATATACACGCGCACACACGCATACACGCACACACGGAATCGCACACGCACACACACATACACGAACCTCAAACATCCACTCCCCACGCACACACAATGCACCATAACCGCCACCACAGGCACAGATAGATTAGACTAGAAATCGCAACACCCACATACACTCAATGCATCTATACTTCACCACACCCACACCCTCCACACTCCCAACGCTCACCAGACAGCGCTACCCAGCACCCCTCCCCATCTTTCCTTTCCCCGCCACCTCTCCTCCAAACCCCTTCCCCACATCCCCACCCCCGCGCAGCGTACCACGGCAAGGCGCAGGTTGAGGCAGTGCAGAGCCTTGGGGAGCGCCTTAGCCGCGGCGAGGTCGAGCTGGTTGCGCTCCTTGGTCAGCGACTCCACCTTCTTCTTCAGCCGGTCCAGCGTCGACAGCGTGCTCTTCCACTCCTGCGCGCGCGCGCGCAGAGCCTCCAGCAGCTTGATCAGCCCCAGCACCTTCTCCTCGCCCGCCCACGTCCGGTCGCCCTTCCACTTCTCCACCAGCGGCTCCGCGCGCTCCAGAGCCGCGCGCACGTGCTTTACCATCTGCGCGTTCTCGCGCTTTTCCGCCTCCGGCAGAATGTCGGCCACTTGTCCGACAAGGTCGCCCATGAGAGACATATAGTTCTCTTTCTTCTCCTCTGGTACGTTCTCCTTCCCGTCCCTCACCACCACCACCACCTCCGGAGCGCTAGGTTTGCGCCCGCCATCCTCTTTCTCCTTCTCTTCGCCCTCCCCATCCTTCCCCTTGCCCTCCTCCCCTGCCTGTTCCTGCTCCTGCTCCCCCTCCTCTGGTTCTGCAGGGCCTGCTTTGCGCCCGCCACGGTTATTTCTGGAACTCCTCCCTTCGCTGTTCTCCTTCGCCGCACCTCCCTCTTCCTCCCCGCCTTCCTGCTCCGCTCCTGCGCCCTCGTCTCGTTGCTCCGCCGCTTCCCCGTCCTCCGCCTCTGGAGCTGGTCGCATCCGCCCGATCCTGGCGGTCTCCGATAGGCTGTCGCCCACATTGTCCACGCCACCGTCCGACAACACCCCGTCCTCCGCTTCGTTCTGTTTCCACCGAACACCACACCACACGAGCAATCATCAAGCAAGACGAGAAGTTAGGGTCAGGGCAACAGATTTCCCTCCTTTTGCGTCGTTGCTTCGAACGAGACAGAGAGCAAGGCTGGGAGCAAAAACACGCTCGCGAAGCTGCAGCTGTGTGCCCACCGCAGCCATGACCATACACTACATGCGACACCCATGTGCATTACCAGCGACGCACGTGAAAAAAAGGGGCACGCTCATAGCATCGCACAGTCGCACACACACGATAGCACATACACACGGTCAAAACCCGGATAAACCTAACGCCATTGCCGCCCACAGGCACATACAACCACGCACACAGACTTTCGTACCAGCGAAACAAGAAGAAAAGCAAACACTAAGAGTCACACAAATACGAATTTTAGGCCACAGAGTGGCATAATCGGGATTAACGACGTAACCCAAGAACGAAAACTACCTTCAAATCGCCAGGGGAACATAATGGAACAAAACTGCTTTAAACCCGTTTTGGCTCCAAATGGCTCCAATCATGCGCGCAGCGAGTACCTTGTTTTGTACAATCATAGAAAAGAGAAAGACAACAGCAGTGCAAGAGAGAGACGACAAAGGAAGAAAACGAAATCACAGAGTATCGGATTCTGTACCTCGGAGTTGGGGGCAAACGTAACCATGGTCGCGCTCGAGGGCTCTGCAATACACATGGAAACCACGGAAAACACGAGGCGTAGGGCAACGAGTTGATACTGCAGAGTCGGACCGAAACTAGCAGCTTCCATGCAGAAGGGGGTAGATTCCATATGCAAAAGACAAGCGGATTGAATAGAGATCATCACGGCATAGACAGGAAAACAGGCTAGGCAACCTTGAAGCGTGTCCGCGGAGTTTGACGAGGAGGCCCAAAAGAGGAGAGGAAGAAGCAGGATCATCGCCGTGGTCGCACAGACGAGAGTTCTGGACGTGGACGCAGACTCGCGTATCAACAACTTCACACGTCGAAGATTCGGATCGGATCTGCGAGAGCAGCGCACGGGAATAAGGTGGATGTTCATAAGTACATCACCACTCAGGAGAGAAGGCTTCACGAAGTTACGGAGCATAGGTACGAGATGGAGAACACTGAAGCTAAACTCACTTCGGAGCTGGCGAGTACTCGACCGCCGCGTTTGGACCCATGATGGACGGTTGTGGAATTTGGACGGATGCAAACTTGTTTAGTTCGTATCTGAGGCTCCTGCAGCCTCGATAACTTCAAAAGTTTCCTAGCAACGGGATGATTGCTGAATAGATGCTCGATGCCAGCACTAAGTCAGGAGCACCTAAAGATTCCCCATCGCGCAGAACTACTCTCTGTTGGTGCAACAGGCGTGAACAATGGAGGCAGCAAGCATGTCAAGATCTGAGGCAATGAAGCTTTAGTGGTGGTGATAGATGTGTGAGTGTTCCGTTCCGTTCTGCTGTGGCGTATTGATGGATGTGTCCTCGATATGATCGGAGCAAGAGGGTGATGTGGGAAACGCACAAGGACCGATGGAGGGAAACAAGGTTCGGGATGAGAGGAGCCTGGTTAGGCTGGGGAGGTTGAGGAGGAGGGAGCCGAAGCGAATTCGGTAAGGTTGGTGATCGGGTGGTTCCGAGCCAGGTTGAGACGAAGAGACCTCGCGGGATCTCGATCTTCCTCAGTTTCGAGGTCTGACCAAGAGGCTCGGGAAGGATAACCGGACCTAAACTAAGCTCAGAGGCTCCAAACCGAAACGCGACTTTGACACTGGCTTTCAAGCTTTCTGTGGACCGCGCCGAGCAGAAAGGTCAGTAGTGCTTGGGCGAGTGTTCTGACTGACAGCGGTAACAGCGGACCGCGGTCTGTGACTGCCAGGGTTTGGCGCGACGCGGGAAATGGAAATGTCACAAGATTCAACGATGTGTTTCATTTGAGGTGGAGTTCGTTCCCTCACGCGGGTAAGGGAAGTGTCACCCCAATTCGATTCTACCATGCTAGATGAAAAAAATGGATATTTAGACCATCATTGCATGACCATAGCGAGTATGGGAAGGTCCAAATAAGGGCCTGTTACACCAGGTATGTTCAGTAATTCTCCCACAAACCACCTTAGGGCGAGGTTTGAATGTTGGCAAAGTTTCCCTCTCTGATGCACCATGCAACCTCTGGAAGTAACCTGGTATACACTTTCAAACATTTGACAAATAATTCTCACCTCCAACATTGAACAGAGAAAAACAGGTCCAAGTTGAGAAATTCGACTGTTACACATCACAAACAGGCCAAACTACTACATGCCTTATGCAGTGTCAATCTGCATTATCCACATCCAGTCTGCTCCTGCATCTCCTGGAACTTCACATCCAAGCAATTTCTCAATTGCTTCCCCTGCTCACCTCCAGTTGCACCACATTCTACTCACAGGCACCACATACAGTGTAGCACATCTGCAGCAGAGGATGGGACTGTTGCAGCCACTCCTGCAACCTGCACAGGTCAATCAATGCCCTTAGTTTATACTGTACACTGGCAAACCAAGCACATCCTGAAAGTGCACGAGAACATACCCTCTTCCATCAACAACTACGAGCAGTGACTCATTATGCAGCACTGTTGCTGCTGCGGAGCAGTCCCTGGAGAAGAGCTCCAACCTGGTCACGCTGCTCCTGGCTTGTGTGAGGCAGGGCAGAACGGAGAAGCTCAAGAGGCATCTCCTTGCTCACAGCTGCAGCTGCAACTGCAGGCAGAGGCAGTGATGAAAGGATGGCTCGAAAGCACAATGCTGAGGACAGCCTGTCAAAGAAGGCATCAAATCCAATCTGCCAGGACAACAGCTGCTGCTGCAGCTGAAACTGGACCTGGTGATGACTGTGAGGAGCAGCACATGCAGCTGCATTCGCTGATGCGGCAGCAGCTGCACGAACATTAGCTGCGCGATCAAGAAGTGTGCGAAGGACAGAGGTGGCAGCACGCCCTGCTGGTGTGTGCGAGGCAAAAGGTGGAGCCTCAGGAGCAAGCACAACTGCTGCAAGGCATGCAGCAGCAACGTCTAACGAAGACAGGCTCTGCATGGCTCGAATGACTTGCGTAGGGAGTGAGAGGGCGGCAGCCTCAGGCGTGGATGGAGGCTCAGGTGGGGAAAAGAGTATGCGGAAGTGCCGGAACACAGCCAGAAGCAGAATGCGCTGAAGTGGGGAGTTTGCTGGCACCACACTGAAAAATCGAGCCAGAAACTTCCTTCCTTTGGGAAGAACAGACAATCGAAGCCAGACTACATCCTCTGGAGGAACGACACTAGACACCCCCCTGTTACCTCCACTCCTTCCTCCCCAGCCGCCAGTAGGTCCAGCAGCGGCGACAGCAGTTGCTGCAGCGGAGGCCGCGGCTCGCACATCATGCATGGGAGCAAGCGGGCTTCCAGGAATGAGAGGATCCGACAGCTGGAGCGAGGCCGCGAGGGTTTCCAGAAGCAAGTGGCGCGTGCGATGCAACTGCGCAGCAGCATGTGGTGGGAGCGGCTGGGGCGAGGACAAGAGTCGGTCAATGTCATCAACGTCAAGCAGCACGTTCATGCCTTCCTCAATGGCTATGCGCGCCGCTAGCATAGGCTCCTGCTCCAGCGGCCGCACTGGCTGCTGCCGCCCATCCGGACCGACTCCATCTCCCTTGCCTCCCAGCCCGCTTTCGTGCCACGAAGAGTGCAGGCAAGCAAGCGGCTCGACATCCAGCAACGGCCGCGGACGGCGAATGGAGGGAATAGGAACTCGACCCAGACCTTGAATCGGAACGAACGCGACTGTGGACTGCTGCTGCTGTTGCCCGTTGCCTCGTTGCAAGCTCCCTGGCGGCTGGAGGGTAGCGGGCGCGAAGTGGCGGAGGCGCATGCCAGCAGCCGCTGCCTTGCGCTGCTCCACCGCTTGATGGTAATAGTCGTCCACATACGGATCCCCGGCATGAACAGCTGCCCACTGCATACGGATAATGGACTGCATTTCCTCCACGCTCATGTACTGCGACCTCACCATACCCGGCGAACCGCCACCCCCTTCCGACAGGCCACCGGCTCCAGGGCCGCCGTGAGCATTGTGCATGGGCCGCGCGGGGCCCGGCCCGGCAGACATGCCGACGGACGTCGGCATCATAACCTGTCCCCCTTGAGCCGGAGAAGCACCAGGACCCGCCGTAGCTTCCGGTCCCGGCCACGCGCCTGGGCTGCCCGCCCACTGCTGCTGCTGCTGCATCCCTGGAGGCTGCAAGAACTGCTGCTGCTGCTGCTGACCCTGTGGTAGCGGAGGCGGTTGCTGCTGCTGATAGGGTGCATTTGGCGCAGGCCACGGCGGCGGAACGGCGACGCCTTGCGGCCCCGCAAAATTCGGCGGAAGAGGCATGTTAGGGGGAAGAAGAAAAGGGGCAGGAGGTGCGGGCCAAGCACCTCCGGGATGGCTGCCCATGGGGCGCATCGTAGGAGGCGGCATTCCGCCAACGAACCCAGTCGGCAGAGGGGGACCCGAAACGCCAGCAGATGGCGGTCCGATGTTCTGACTTGCTGAGACCCTAGAGGCTTCCGATCCTACAGGAATCTGCTCTTCTTGCTGTCGCTCCAACCATTTTTCCTGTTGCTCCGGCTTGCTCTGCTCCGAGTCTTTTATCCGAAGCTGCTGGAGACTGAGCCCTAAGTCATCACCTACCTGCAAGACAACGAGAGGGACCAAATGACGAAAGAAATTTCTGAACTGTGTAGGACACGCGCTGACAAATAGAGGATAAATAGAAAATAATAATCAAGAAAAAAGCACCGGAACTATGCGCTAACTCCATAGCGCTCACATCGTCGGTCTTAAGGCTTGGCTGATCCGACCACTCAACAGAAGGTTCTTCCGGGTTGTCCGGATTCTCGTCCCATCCGCCAAGTTCCCCATCTGCACCATCATCCTCCAAGCCGCCTAACTCTTCCTGAGGTAAAGCGGCAGAGTCGGCGTTGAAGAAGGCGTACTGACTTGCGTCAAATCGCCCTCCGTTTATGCTGGCCTTCTCGGTACCCAGTTCAGTAGCCATTTTCGGACAGTCCTCCTAGTATTACAGCAAATGCCTGTAACAAGATGCAGGCAAGAAACAGGAACGACTTAAAAAATTCAGTGGATACGCAATAACAAGCAACAAAAAAGACGTACACGGGTCCTGTAAACTTGTTTTATGAAAACATGTGCTGAATCGCAAAGCGCATACCGTGAGCCTAAAGATATGCTATTCGAATCGTAAAATGTCAGATTCAATCAAGAGCTTCTATTTCGCTATGAGACGCAACCTGCAAACAGAAAATAAATAATGAAGCAGGAAAACAGTTATAAACATACTTATAACACAAAAGCGACTAACTGAGCTGCACACGGAGGAGGAAAACGGTGGAATCGTTAAGAGAACAACAAAAAAATCACAGCTTACCTAACTGGTTTACAAGCTGCTACTTTACAAAGTCGGGCACTGAGTCAATGCACCCAGGTTGGAGCACTTCTGCCCGGAGTGAATGAGAATCGACACCTTATTGGTAAAGGCAAAGGCGCGGTCTCATGAATGGTGCAAATCCACGGAAATGCTGAGAAAAAAGATAGGCTGAGACTGTATGCGAAGCCTTCAAGAAGTCGACGGAACACAAAAACACGTGGGGAAAAAAGGGGGAAAAAAAGAAACGAAAAAAAAAACGGAGCGAAGCGAGGTGAGGAAATAATATGTTCAACCTCACTTCAAGCTCCAACTAAAGGCGTATTGTGGCTGTACCCTGCTAAGTTACAAGCATGAGGTCTAGCGAAGGCACATCCCAGACTAGACACAGAATTGGAAGGCCTATTGGCACTACAAATGTGAAGAATGTGAGATTTGGAAGTGAATGGCTTGAATGGGGAGGGAACAAGGGATGGTTTGCAAGAAGGGGAGGTGGAGGTGGTATAGGAGCGCATGTGGTGTGTGCTGTGCTGTGTCTTGGAGGTATGGTGGAGGGGGGAGAGGTGAGAGAAAGTGGTGGTGGTGGGAGAAATAGTTGGTGTGGTGGTGTGCGACGAGGAGGAAAGGCATGCGACGGTATGTGGAGGGTGATTGTGGGGGTTGTGCGAGCAACAGCCGGATGTAAGGGCGAAGAGAAAAGGGACGCGACAAAAAACGCTATCTCTTGGTCGCAGACCGAGGTGGTTTGCGTGGCTGGGTGCCTCGTTGTTTGTCGTCCTCCAGTTACATGCAGCGGAGATCATATACCACCCGTGTCAGCGACTGCAAGTAGTGGATGACAATCACACAGTTGAGTCGCAACCCTTTGATGCCATATCCTTGCCCAATCGGAGTAATGTCCTCAGAAAGAATGCGGCCATTTCCCTACCCCGATCTGTACCACGTCCTAACTGGCGCAGCTCTCGCGCGAATTCGTCGTCCAACCACACCAGTCGCACGAAAATTACTGCGAAAAAGGTCAATACAAATCGCAACACACCTGACAAAAACGGGTAAAACAATATAAAACCCAATTGGAGACGGATTCAACTCGGGAGGAATCAACCCTAAACACGAGGGCAGTTCCCGTGTTTAGGGTTGATCCCTTCCGAAAAATGAGTCCAGGTTCCCTATATTTTTTTGTCCCACTGCCTTAAGGGACATCAACCCTAAACACCAGCACGTTCCCGTGTTTAGGGTTGATCCATCCCGAACAATGTCCAGGTTTTCTAGGAGTTGTATTTTTCTTTTCCGGGCTTCCCTGCCAGGCCGATTTTGTGTGTTGCGTGTGTTGCGTGTGCTGCTTGTGTTGCGTGGGTTGCATCCCCTGACAGAACAGTGTTTTTAGTGGCGGATGTGTACAAACAGTGATAACCGAGGGAGAAAAACGACGGGATAGCATGCACCTGATTAGCGCGAATCGGCTAAGTTGCATGCACCTGAGAATGGCCGGAAAGAATGTCCTCTCTTTCACATTTCGGAAAAAACTTTGTCCAGGAGGAGCTACATCTGTAAGCTGTATATTTTCGTTTCTGTTGAGGGAACAACCTGTACACCTGCAGGATCACGTGAGCAAACCGATCATGGTCGTTATACTGTACACATACACGAGCCCTCTCTTTTATCATGCAAACCCCAATCAGGGGCGTCTCTTGCAGCATCGATAGAGTCCCATCTTTCAAAGCCACGGCCACATAACTCGTTAGTAGAGACCCGTAATACACTTCGAACCTGCATCCGCGTAGTTGACCATGCTTCGACACATCTGCATGCCGATCACAAGGGCTTTGCTGACTCACTGCTGACACTAGACCACGCAATCCGCAACCAAGCTGCCTGGTCAACCAAATATCCCCCCCACACCTCACTAGATTTCAACGCCATTGCCCCGTCCTGTCGCTTCCCATTGCCTGTCCCTTCCAGCTTCTAATGTTCATTTCCGTTGTTTTTCGTACCTAAAGAATGGCGTGAAGCGCATATTGTCTTCCATCCATAGGTTCCGCCTTCTCGAAACGACCAACCAGACTTCCATAACAGAAGTCGAACTTCACTTCCCAGCACGACGCTGCTGCCATGGACAGTCGTGCATGCCAAAGAATAGCGCACCTCGCGGCGCGAGCTGCGGCAGGGCGTATTCTAAGCGTGGGCGCTGCAAGGAGCTTGCATATCGCTCGGCGCGGTGCCGCTGCACTTGTGTCGGCCAATAGGGGGGAGGCCGTGTCAAAAGCTCATCCCAGCGAAAGTACCACTCGGACTAATGGCGTCGACCCAGGCAGGGCCGGCGAGCAGTTGCCTCACCGCGCGTTCACCACTGCAACCATCGACGGCGGCAGCGGTGACGGCGGTAGCGGTGGTGGAGGCGGTGGCGGCGGTGGTGGTGGCAACAGTAGCAGCAGTAGCGGCAGCACCAGCCGCAGCAGCAGTAGCGGGCTGCAGGACGTGGTGATTGTCGCAATGGCGCGGACCGCAATAGGCGGGTTTCAAGGCGGGCTGTCCGCCTTCACCGCCCCGCAGCTTGGCGCCGCTGCCATCGCAGGTGCTCGCGTCTCACCCGCACTCCTCTCTCCCTCCCTCCGTTACGCTGAAGCGCCCCGAACATAGTCTTTCCACACTTGTATTCTCTCTCTCTCTCTCTCTCGCGCGCGCGCCCTCCTCTGCGCGCGTGTGTTTCCGGCAACCCCTGCTTCTCTCGCTTGCCTGCGCCACCTGCCCAACCGTCTCCTTCGCGCGTCTCCCCGCTCTCCGCGCCACCCCTTCCCCTCGCCTGCGCTCTTACCCTCCGCGTTTTTTCGGTTCCCCCCATCCGCCCGCCATCACCCATCCCCCATTCTTGGCCCCGCAGGCGCGGTGGCGCGCGCGCGGCTGCCCGGGGGAGCAGCGGCGGTGCAGGAGGTGGTGATAGGGAACGTGCTGAGCGCGGGCTTGGGGCAGGCGCCCGCCCGACAGGCCGCGCTGGTGCGTTCCGCCTTGGCGCGTCTGTTGGATGGGGTTCGGGGGGTGGGGGCTGGGGGTAAGGGTGGTGGGGACTGGGGGTTGGGGGGGTATTGTGGCTGGCGCTAGGACGGACGGTTCAGTGGCGATTAGAGGGAGGGAGGGTAAGAGGCAGGGAAGGAGGGAGCGATGGGGGAAGATTTGGGAGGAGGTGGTAGGAGGAGGGTCTTTGTGTGTGTTTGTGAAATTACGTTAGCTACGTATACAGTGCTGCACACGTGCCCTCCCCCCCCCCCCCCCCCCCCCCCACACACACACACGCACTTGCGCACGCACACACAGCACGGAACAAACAAACAGCATGTCCGTCCTGACACCACCCCACCAACAGGCAGCAGGGCTCTTAGACACGACCATCTGCACCACTGTCAACAAAGTCTGCTCCTCAGGACTCAAAGGTGCTCTGCTCTCCCCCTCCGCTACCTCTCTCTCTTCACCACTGTATCCGTATCCGTTCCTCTCCCACTCTCTCTTCCCAACCCTCTGCACCTCCTCCTCTGCTTCTTCCGTCTCATCTCTCATCATCCCCGGTCCTTTCTGCCTCCTCCCTCCCTTCCTGCCTGTCCCTCTCATCTCTTTCCACCTCTATTTTCCACACTCCGCTACCCCACTCCCCTCTCCCATTCGCTTGACCCTCACCCCCCCCCCTCTCCCCCCACTTCCCCAACTTACCCCCGCCCTTCCTCTCCCATCGCTTCCCCCGCTTTCTTCCCCCCTTTCCCCGCCAACCGCATCCCCTGCTACGTACGCGTACGCACGTGCGTGCCCCCACTGGCAGCGGTGACACTAGCGAGTCAGGCCATCATGCTGGGCCACCAGAGCGTCATAGCAGCGGGCGGCATGGAGAGCATGTCGCATGCGCCCTACCTGCTGCCACGTGTCATCAAGCCGCGGCGCCACGGCGACCTGGCGCTGTGCGACTCGCTCATCCTGGACGGGCTCTGGGACCCCCGCGCCGGCTGCCACATGGGCACCATTGCTGATGCCGCCGCTGCCCAGCTCCGGATCTCTCGCCGCGAGCAGGTGCGGGGGGGAAGGTGGGGGAGAGCGGGTGGGGGGAAGCGGGTAGGGTGGGTGCGAGCGGGTGGGGGGGGGAGCAGGTTTGCGCCAACCATGCGCTCTGGGCACACAGCACAGCATACCTATTCCCGCGTGCGGACCCCTGCTCTCTGCAGCTGCACACCTCATGTCCTCTCCATGTGCCTTGCAACCCCCATCCATGTACCCTTCTCTACCACACTTCCCTCCACATTCCGCCCCCTTTATCGTTCAATCCACTAACCCAATTAATCAACTTATCCACCCATGCACCCATGCAACCATGCACCCATGCACCCATGCACCCATGCACCCATCCACCCATGCACCCATGCACCCATGCACCCACGCGCCACGGGCAGGACGATGAGGCGATCAACAGCTACAGCAAGGCCGTCACAGCACAGGCCACGGGTCTCCTCGCGTCTGAAATAGTGCCCGTGCCACACCCGCATGCTGCCACCACTGCTGCTGCTGGTGCTGCTACTGCCACTGCGAAGAAGGGTGAGGGGGCAAAGGCTGGCAAGGGTGGAAGCACGGCTGGTGGAGGAAGAGGAGGCGGAGACGCATGCTTGATGCACGACGAGGAATGCACACGGGTAATTATCCCTCTCAAACGGTCCTTCGTATTAATGCGGATGTGGGTACATGCAAAGGCAACAATCAGCAGGTAATTATCCTTTTGTGCATTGTTTTCTTTTGTCCCTCAGCATTTCCCTGAAATCCATGCAGTGACTGCTGATGCCGAAGGCACACCACTTAGATTCCTGCCCTTCTGCACTGTTCAATTTCCTCTGATGTTGCTCTCTCCTTCTCATAACCCCCCACCCTTCCCCGAAACGCCTACCCACTTCTCTCCACCCCCACCGTCCACGAACCCCCCAATCAGTTCGACCCTGAGAAGATGCGCGCGCTACCGCCGGCCTTCTCGCCCAACGGCTCTGTGACAGCAGGCAATGCGTCGGTGCTGAGTGACGGTGCTGCAGCGCTCGTGCTCACCTCCGCTTCCTATGCGCACCAACACGGCCTGCCCGTGCTCGCCCGCGTGCTCGGCTTTGCTGATGCCGAGCAGGTGATGTGATGCACCTGGACACCCGCATCTCGCTTTCCTCGCTTCGCTTGCCTTGCCTTTCCTCCTTTGCCTTGAATGCGTGCCGTAGCATGTGAGAGGAGTTGCATGGCTTTGAGGATGGCTTCAGGGATAAGTATGGATTCATCTGGGTGTTTAATCTTCATCTCCTCTCACCCCCCCCCCCCCCCCCCCCCCCCCAAACTCATTCTACACCTTGTTTTCTCATCCCATCACTGCGAACCCTCGTCCTCCCTGTCCTTCCGCCCACTCCCACCCCAACCTCCCCACACCTACCCTCCCCCCCTTAACACCCATAAATGGGTGCAGGCATCAGAGCATTTCCCAACAACAGGGTCGCCGGCGACTTCCCCAGGCGGTGCAAGCAGCCATTTGAGGGGCTGCAAAAGCCCTCCCCACCTCCCACACACCTCCCCCCCCCCCACTTAAACTCCAATTGTGTGAGAGCAGGCACCGGAGCGGTACCCCACAACAGTGTCGCTGGCCATTCCCAAGGCGGTGCAGGCAGACTTGGCGTCTCAAATGCCCTCCCCACCTCTCTCACCTTCTCCTCCTCCCCCCTTAAACTCTGCATGAGAGCAGGCACCGGAGCGGTACCCCACAACAGTGTCGCTGGCCATCCCCAAGGCGGTGCAGGCAGCAGGGCTGACCCTCGAGTGCATCGACCTCTTTGAGATCAACGAGGCCTTTGCTGTGAGCGCCCGCTCCTGCCTGCCTTGCACACCTTCTCTTCTCTGCCACGTTGTGCTCATGCCGTGCCCACGTCTTGCCCATGCCTAACCCATGCTGGTTCCCATGCTACCTGCGGCTCCTTTTCGTCACGTTTCCTCCTCCCCGCGAATGCACACCCCTTCCATCCGCACCAGTCTCTGTGAACCCATTCTCTCCTGTTCCTACACCCACGCCCCAACTTCTCGCAACTTCTCCCCGCACCCTTTCCCCTCGACCGCATTCCCGCATCTCCTCCCCCACTCTCCCCTCCTTCCCCCCAACCTCCAATCCCGGGCCAGGCCATCACAATAGCCAACGAGCGGCTGCTCGGTCCAACGCCAGACCAGGTGAACCTGCACGGGGGAGCAGTCGCCCTAGGCCACCTTTGTTTGAGTCAATTAGAAACTCCCCTCCCCCCCCCACCTCCCCACCCCCCCCATCCCCCTTGCCAGGCCATCACAATAGCCAACGAGCGGCTGCTCGGGCTAACCCCAGACCAGGTGAACCTGCACGGGGGAGCAGTCGCCCTAGGCCACCCCATAGGCGCATCAGGGGCACGGGTGCTCATGTCGCTGCTCTCCTGCCTGGCTGCCACGGGGCTCAAGCGTGGCGTGGCAGCGGTGTGCAACGGGGGTGGCGGCGCGACCGCAGTGGTGGTGGAGCGAGAAGAGGGGTTCCGGCTGGAGGGGCACGGGCCGGGGCACTGGCAGCAGCAGGAGATGCAGGCCAAGGAGCGCAGCGCCGCGCGCTGATGCCCGGGCCGCATGGGGGCTGGCGGTGTGTGTGGAGTGGAGGGGAGACCTTGCGGTAGTAGCCTGTAGGCATGTGTTGTGTTTCCTCGTACTGAGAGCTTGGCTACTGGCTGACTGACTCGTAACCTGGTTTGTACACTGCAGCTAGTTGCAACTTGCAAACTTAACTCATTTAGAGCGTATTCCTATCCTCGTATCAAGAAAACCTCATATCAACCTCCCACTGAAAATTCCCCTAAACCCAAAACCTCTCGCTACTTTTACCAGGCAAAAAGTACAATCTTGATATGAGGTTTTCTTGATACGAGGATAGGAATAAGCTCTTAGTAGGTAAGCAATACGGTGTTCATCCCACCTAGTGCATAGGTACCTATTTGGTGCATATGGCTATGGTAGCAAGACTGGAGTCACGTCGCTGCGATGAACCCATGCTGAATCTTTCATGATGCAATGCAACTACAAAAGAATGGATTACCGGTAACAGGGCCTTGTCGATCAAATGGTTGGTACGGTGATGATTGTACACGATGAAAGTGTTGTGGGTTTCTTGAATAAGAAATTATGCGTGAAACCCTAAGCCCAGCCCTTGTGCAGCAGTCAGTGCTACCCCAAGCTGTATCCGATCCGATGCTCTACTGCATCCTCCATGACCATGAATAACACCCTCCTGGCCCTATCGCAACCATCCACTACAAGTTACCATAATTGTCTGACCTCCCTCTGCTCCCTCCCCTCTCCTGCTCCCGATCCTTCCCCTATGCAAGTGATCCTCAACACGGGTATACACCGCAGTAGATCCATTATCATCATAACACAACAAAGAGTGCAGCTGTCAACAAATCACAACATGAAGAACCACGGCATGATATCAAACCACACCAAACCACACCAAGCCACGCCACCCCACCCCAAGCCACACTTATTCATGCCATGCCACCCATGCCATGTCACACCAGGCAGGCCATGTCAAACCAGGCCATGCCACACCAGGCCATGTCACATCAGGCCATGTCAGTCACACTGCGCCATCTCACTTCACAGCAGAACGCTGCTCAGTCCAGCGCCCAGGGCCAGCGCGGCTCGTACGTGAGGAAGAAGAGCAGAGCCACGTCTGCAGCGAACCACGACCACTGCGGGATGTCCCCCAGCAGGAACGGCTGCAGCCGCCGCTGGCTGCGCAGGAACACGCGCTTCTCGTGCTCGTTCGCAAACTCGTGCTGCTCCGGCCACTTGAGGCCTCGAGCAAGCGGCTCTGCGCGGGGCACACGGTACGGCATCTTGTTGCGCCAGCTCGTTGCAGGCAGGCCTAGTCGCCGGATGGCCCCCAGGATGCCGCTCGCCTCATGCACCCACTCCTGCACCTGCTGCTGCGTTATCAGAGGCTGCGCCGCCGCCGCCTCGTGATGGTGATGGTGGTGCTCGTGATGGTGGTGGTGCTGGTGCTGGTGGTGATGACTGTGGCGGAGGGTGTCGTGGTGTGGGTCGTGAGGGTGCGGATGGGAGGCTGGGGCTGAATCGCTTCCTGCTGCTGCACTACCAGAAGCTGCTGCTACTGTGGTAGCTTTGGTGCTAGTGCCCACCCCACGACCCTCCAGATGGTGAGATAGTGGCCGTGACGGCAGGGGCGGGGAGGCGGCGGAAGGGGAGGTGGGGAGAGCGGCAGGAGCGACGGTGGCAGCAGTGGCAGCAGCGTTGACTGCAGTGGCCATAGTGGGAGTGTCGGCTGCTGCAGCGACTGGTTGACCCGTTACCGGTTGTGCCAGTTTCACAGCGGCGGCTCCTGCTGATTCTACTCCTCCCGCTGCTGCTCCTTCCGCTGCTGCTCCTACTGCTGTCGCAATCACTGTTGCCGTCGTCCCTTCCGTCGTGGCTGTTGCCGTAGCTCGCGAAATTCCCGTTGTTTCCACAGAAGCGCCTGCCCGAGCTTTCTTCGCTGCTCTTCTGGCTGCTTTGGTCCCCGAAGCTGCCACAGCTGCTCTGCTGTCACCACCTCCTCCTGCTTCTGCTGCTCCTGCTGCTCCTCCTGCTCCTGCTGCTTCTGCTGCTCCTGCTGTTCCTGCTATTCCTGCTGTTCCTGCTGTTCCTGCTATTCCTGCTACTTTACCCGTTCCTGCTGCTCTGGTTGTTCCTGCTTTTTCGGACTCGGTGGTGGGCCCAGCAAGATCCGAAGGAGCTGACGCAGCGTCTGCTGACGTGGCCGCGGACGAGACGTGACGTGGCGGCTTAAAAGGCGATTGCAGATACGAGATGGCATCGGCAGCGGTCACTGGTGTAGATCCTAAGGACGAAGGAGCAGACTCGGATACCGTTTCTGCTGCTGCTGATGCTGCTGAACTCGTGGTCGCTGATTGGTTCTTACGCGGTACCATCCGAACGAAGCTCACGGTATTCGCCGAACGCGTTTCCGAGGCTGATCCCGAGCCTCCACTGGACTCCTGACTCTTTGTGGTTAGAGGCGGGAGGAGGGGAACGGGAGGCGCAGCCGGCGGTTTCACGAGGTTTGAAGCCGCAACGGTAATCGACTCGAGGGATTTGGAGCCAGCGGCAACAGCCGAGCGACGTATTCGACTCGTCGCGGAAGCCGCGGCGTCGGTTGCGGCGCGAACGGCGGCGACCGCTTGGCGGGTGGAAGTGGAAGAGGACTGGCGGAACGCCTCTGAGAGCTCCGGAAGCATCGCGATGGCTTCGGAGGAAACAGCCGCGACGGAGCGGATGACGGGCCGAACCGCTGATGCGATCTGTTCCCATGGCAGCGGCGGGGTTAGCGTAGCCTGAGGTGGCGAGGCCATAATCAGCAGCTGGTCGCGGGGTGTGGGAGCAGCAATAAGTCGTATAATGCCTGAATAATGAAAGCCTGAATGATGCCTGGATGGGTTATAAAAGCATTGTAGCTAGCGGCGGAATGCTTGAAGCATGCAGTGGTCACTGGTCACGATGAAGATTGCAGAATGCAGGGACTATCGGAGGTGCGACCGGAATGTTTTCAGCGCGAAATGCGGCAGTAGAATCAACAGGGTGGGTTGGATATGACCTGCAGGAGGATGGAGCTTGGAGGGAAAGGTGCAGGTGGCTTGGGCTTGGGCGCCATCGTCAACTCCGATAACACACGTCAGCAGCAGCAGTGGGACCACATTCGAAGCGATATACAGTCGTAGAGTGCAGGCTACACCGTAGCTTTTTACTACTTTTTAAACGATGTAAGGAAAATTCCTTTTCCTTACTTCGCGTCCTCGCTCAGCGCGTTCACCACTGTAGCACCACAGTCAGCACCGTTACCACTCGCACATCCTCGCATCAACAATCCTCCCGCCACCTTCGCACGTCGCACCCCGACCTCACGGCTCGGCGGGTAACCCGCGCCCCGGGCCTCCGCTTCGACATTTTCCCAAACCTCAGTCCCAGGCCCGTTGCGCGACAACCACAGTCCATTACCGTTACCACTGTAGTTTCGCTATATATTCTTCGCTCATGCCTTCGCTCATTGTACTCTTGCTTCGATAGTGCAATTCTCGCCCGCTCACTCAATTGCACTCGTAACAAACAACCACTGATATTGTGACAATACAAGAGTGCAAGCTAAAAGCATCAGCTGAACAAATCATAGCACCCGGCCTTCCATTATTTTCATGCAATACAGGTTATTATCTCGGCAACCCACAAGTGCTAAACCTCCAACAAGCACCGGGGATGAGAATACTTCACCAGGCAACTCCAAGCTGCTTTCAACATATACATGCATATCCATTGCATCATCCCCTCCTCTCCCCCATTCCACAGGCCCTACAACAGGTGCCAGCTGATAGCCGCTATGCCCATGAATCACATTAGGCACACAAAGCAGAAAGAGCCTACCGGTTGTGGTAGCAACAAGCACTCGGAAATGAGATGGACGCGTCACACGCTCTTGGATCGTTGCGCTAGGGTGTAATTCAACGAGCTGTTGAATAGCCCCAGGCATTTCTCCAGGGAGTGGAAACAGAGAGCTTACATCACGACACACAGCGGCGGCAATGGAAAGGGTGGGAGGTTTCGAAGAAGGCGCATGATGTGGGGCTGTAGGCACTTGCCATTGCCAGTGAACACGCCCTGTGGCCTGGGAAGAACCAAACCAGTGGTGAAATGTCACGAGTAGAGGAGAGAAGCTTTGGACAGGGAGCATGCCAATTCATGCATGGCATACGAAAAGGATGTGATAAGACTGCTTGACTTTCGGGGACATGATGAGATGAGATGACGCATGTGTCAGTAATGATGACTCTCTGACGCAGATATTTCATACCGAGACGACACATGTTACCCATGTTTTCGACACATGCAACACTCGAAGTGCCCCTTTTCATGAACCCACCCATGTGTGCGTGCGTGGCCTTACCCCATCCATACAAAGAACGGCCCCATTCTGCACAGCTACAAGCACCTGCAGGGATGGGAACATGATGCAAGGCACAGGCAGGAACAAAACTTGCAGGAATAAGACGTGGGATGTACGCACAGGCATGCACACACGCACCAACACGCGTGCGCACACACACGCGCACCCTAGGCCACCTATTAGAACTAAATTGCAGTGCGCACCTAGCTTCACTAGACTACCTAGCCCGTTCCCCCTTTCGACCATCCCTTCACCACTCCTCCCACTGCCCTCCCACTCCATTGCTCGCTCCCCAACGCAACCCGCCCTCCCTCTTTTCTCACATGTTGCACGGGCCATGCACTCCTTGCACTGCCCATGTGTGCCACGGGTGCAAACACTGGCGCTCCCACTGCCACCTGATGCAAAGAACCAGGGAGCGGGGTAAGGCAGGGAGGGGAAAAAGGAGCGTGTAAAAAGCAGCATGTGGACGGAGGGAGGGATGGATGGAATCAGCAGCAGAGCTATGATACGGCAGCAGCAGCAGCAGTGCATGTGGAAAGATGAAGGGAATGATGGAAGAAGGGAGCGAGGGAGAGATAGAGGGGCAGGGACACTGCATGAACGGAGCTTTGACTCGAACTTTATGAAGCGAATGCATACGGCTGTGCACGTATGCAGTGTGTGTGTGTGTGTGTGTGTGCGCGTGTGTGTGTGTGTGTGTGTGTGTGTGTGTGTGTGTGCACGAGTGCATGCATAGTTTGTGAGCAGGACAAAAGTCACCTGCCAGTCTATGCGACCACAGGACACATTGACTCCTGCTACAGTGCCAGCCACGGTGGCAACCACCACGTGCTCTGCACACCACAGGAGACACACAGAGCACACACGCAACAGGCACACCACACACACACCACACACACACACACGCCGCACACACACACGCCGCACACACACGCCACACGCCACACACACACACACTCACACACACACCGCACACGCACACACACAAAAACACACACACACCGTACGCACACCGCACGTACACGCCACACACGCCACACACTGTAACCGAGGCTTATGGGTTGCATAGATCCAAAATCCATTGTGTGGTGCAGCACGGTGGCAAGAGGTGGTGAAGATACAAGGAGAAAAGGCAAGTGGAGAGAAGGCAAGGAGAGAAGGCAATAGACATGGCACGGGAAAGGAATGCGCACCACGGACACAGGCAGGAGTGGAGAACACTGGCGCACCCACTGCCTGCTGCCACACCACTGCCAACCCATGCGCTGCCACCCCTCCCCCCCATCCGCTCCTCCCACTTCCCTCGCTCCCTCTCCCCATGCCACTGTCTGCACCAATCCCCACCCCCCCGCTACTACCACAGGCAGTGCGAGCGGCACGGGGATGAGTAGGGGAAGCCGTGGGGGAGGAGGGCGAGGAGGAGGAGGGAGAGGAACGGCAGGCAGCTACAGTGCCGCGTGGGGATGTGGTGCTTATGATGACATGCCGAGATGGCTGCGCGAGGGAGGGGTGGGTGCGGAGAGAGCGGGATGGGAGGCACGAGGGGGTTAAGAGGGACGAGTGGTGTGGGGGAGGAAGAATAAGGGAGGGCAGGGTACTAAGGAGAGTTCGCGCTTGTACATGAGCGTGCATGACCATGATGCATGGGGGGATGCGTCTACCCAGCAGTCATGATGGCATGGCATGGCACGGCACGGCACGGCACGGCACGGCATGGCATAGCACGGCACGGCATGGCATGGCATGGCATGGTATGGTGCGACGTGGCATGGCACGGTATGGTATGGTATGGCCTGGCGTGGCATGGCATGGCATGGCATGGCATGGCATGGTATGCATGGCATGGCATGGTATGCATGGCATGGCATGGCATGGCATGGCATGCATGGCATGGCATGGTGCGGCGTGGCATGGCATGGCATGGCCTGATACGGCATGGCATGACATCTCATGGCATCATGTAGCATGGCACGGGTCATGGCAGCATGTTTCCCTGCATGCACATACCAGGTGGGCAACAGGAGAGGCAAAGAAGGCAGCAGGAGGGGAGAGGGAACGGCGCCAGAGGCAGCAACGCAGGGCAGCATGAAGCACATAAATGTGCCTATCATGGGATCCGCACCTGCGTACAAAGAGGTTGGATGGGGGCGGGGGGAGGGGGGAGCGGGGAAAGGGGATGGGAGAGGGAAGAGCGGGTAGGGGGGATGAGAGGAGGTGGAAGGCAGGGTGGGGATGTGGGGAATTGTGAACGAGCTTGCTTGGGGCTGAGCAGGAGTGGGTATCCATAGGACTGAACGCAGTGGCGGAAAAGTGAGCGGTTGAAACTTCTAAGGGGGCTGAGGCTGCGTACTTGCTGGGTCGGTTTCTGACTAAGTGGGCTGTTTGAGTGAATGTTACTCTTCCCAAGCCAGGGGTTGACGTGCTTTAAAGGGGCACACGGGTCAGCCCTGGCAGAGAAGCAAGAAAGGAGGGTTAATTTCGAGGAGAAGGCTTCAAAGGGAGAAATTTGAGAGACGGTTCCAAGGAGAAGGTTCAGTTCAAGGGCAAGGTAATGAAGGGAAGAACCAAGCCGAGGGTATACCAGAGGAGGTGAGGGCGCCATGGGTCAACCAAGGGTGTGCATTTGACCTGCACATGCATGGATGCACAGATGCACACATGCACACATGCCCATATGCCCACACGCACATGCAATCATGCACATGCCACTCGCACAATGTGCATACATCCGCACAGCAGCACACATTCCCAGGTCCATGAGCACGACACGGGGCATACGAGCTCTGAACAAACGCTAGCACATGTGCTTTCCAAAAAAAAGAATCGTGCGCACGTGAAAGAATGCGCGAGTGCAGCGCGGGGGCGTGTGGGCATGGGAGCATGTGGGCATGTGGGCATGTGGGAATGCGAGCGTGCGGAGTGGCAACCTGGTCATGTGTTTGGTACTTCCAATAGAGTGACCCATCCAACAAGCGGAGGAAGTAGATCGCACCATCATAGCAACCAACCACCACCTGCCACGTGGTGTGGGGGAGAAGGAGGACACGGCCAGGGAAGGGCAGGGAAGCAACACTTTGCAAAGGAAGGAGCACGTTAAGAGAGATGGGCAGGCTGAGAGCGTGCAGGTCGGTGCAGTGCAGGTGGAATGGAATGGAATGGAATGGAACGGAACGGAGGTTTTCTGCGCAGGTAGACCTCCATTGAAGGCGATATACCGGAAGAAGACGAGCTTTTTACCAGCCACAGTGCCCCCACACACACCAGAGGCGATTCGCTGCTGCTGGTGTCGTCAACGCCTCTAACGCCTCCCCCTTGCTGCTCTCCTCCCGATTCCTTTGCCGTGCCTTGAGACGCGCTTGCCCCTCCACTGGCAGTGGCTGCTGCTGTGTGCGGAGGCAGCAGCAGCATGGCTACAGGACTGGCTTCCACCCTGTCGCCCACGGCTGTGCGCCACACCTCCTTGCCGCTGCATGGTGACCGCACGCCACAGGGAGAGGTGGATGAGGGGCGATGGGCGGGTGGGGTGGGCGGGGGGAGGAGCGAGGGGAAGAGTGAGAGCGGAGTGAGGGGACTTGAGAGTGCGGTTGAGAGGGAGTGATGGGGCGAATGACCAGGCAGAAACAGACAGGGAACTTGGCAACAAATGGAGGGCGGGGCACAGCGTGTATGGGAGAAGTTTGAGAGGAGGTGGGTGGGAAAGGCATGAGCAGCATGTATGGCAGCACGCACCTGAGGTTACAGCATAGGACAGTGGCAGAGTGCGATGCAATGACACAGAGCCATGTGCCGTTGGCACACACAAGGAGAGGCGATGCATCCACACATGCTCCTGTGCCCATACTCCACTGCACTTCCATGCACTCCCTGCTGCTGCCACCACTGCCACCACTACCACCACTGCCCGCATTGCTTGCAATCTCAGCACCACCAGCGGGGGCGGTAGTGGAAGCAGTGACAGTTGGTCTCTCTGCTGCTGTTGCTGCTGCTGCTGTTGCTGCTGCTGCTGTTGCTGCTGCTGCTGCTGCTGCTGCTGGTGCTGCTGCTGCTGGTGCTGCTGCTGCTGCTTCTACGGCTGCTGATGTGTCTGCTGTTGCTGGTACATGTGCTGCTGCTGAAAAGCCTCTATCTAGACCTACGATTCCCTCCTCACTCCCCCACACCAGCACGCCTCCACTGTCCCACACGCTTACTCCTCCTGCTCGTGTCACACTCACAAGCGCTGCTGCTGCTACTGCTCTACTTTGCTCACCGCCTGTGCCAGTATCTCTCAGCATCGTGCTGTCCCTATCCACTACAGCCACGGCAGCGTTGACATCCATCGTGCCTTTTATCTCCTTCCTCTTCCGCTTCACCCCTCGCCCTCCTGCACTCCCCTTGGCTTCCTCTGCCCTTCCAACGTCTCCTCTCCCATTTGCCCTTCCCTCTCTCCTCTCCCCCCACCAATCACCTCGTTCTTCCACTTCTCTCTCTTCCAAAATTCTTCCTTCCACTATTCTCCCTTCCTCTGCTCTCCGTTCCACTTCTCTCCCTTTCTCCCTTTGCCCTTCCACTTCTCTCCCTTCCTCTATTCTCCCTTTCCCGATTCTCCCTTCCTCTACTCTCCCTTCCTCTATTCTCGCTTCCTCAATTCCCCCTTCCTCTATTCTCGCTTCCTCAATTCCCCCTTCCTCTATTCTCGCTTCCTCAATTCCCCCTTCCTCTATTCTCGCTTCCTCAATTCCCCCTTCCTCTACTCTCCCTTCCTCAATTCTCCCTTTCACGAACCCCTCCCTCCCTCCACGCCCCTCCAGCACCCCCCTGCCACCTCCTTCCCCCCTCAGCGCATGCATGAGGCGCAGAGGCGAGGGGAAGGCGAGCAGCAACGGCAGGGTGACGCCCAGGCGAAGTGCCACGAGGGCAAGGGAGAGAGACGACGCACCCAGGGAGAAGAAATCAGAGTCAGGTGCAACCAGGGAGGGTGGTATCTGCAACGAGCAGGCCACTGCCTCCTGTATGCGCGCAAGAGTAACGCTGCCATAACCTGACATTCCTGCTTCTGCTGCTGCTGCTGCTTCCCTGCCACTCCCTGCCGTTGCGCCCCCCTTCCACCCACGCTGCTGCTCAGCTCCCTCCTGTGCCGCCACCGCTAGCATTTCCCTCGACCCTCGCTCACCCTTTCCCTGTCGCATACTCCTCCCTTCAGTGGCTGTGGGGCATGGCAGGGCCAAGGCGGAAAGGTCGACCTTACCAGTGGCAGAGAGTGGCAGGGCAGGCAGGGAGACGATGCGAGCGGGGATGAGAGCGGCTGGCAGCTGTCCCCGTGCCCATGCAAGCAGCCGGGACCCCAGTGCTGCTATCATCGCCTCCTCGCTCTCCCCTTCCTCCCCTTCCTCCCCTTCCTCCCCTTTTTCCTCAATTGTTGCTTTTGCGGCTGCCGATGCCGCTACCTCTGTCGCTGTCGCTGTTGTGGTATCTGCCTTTGCACCTAACGCTGCCTCAGCCTGCGCCTCTTGCTGTGGCTGTGCGTTCTGCTGCTGTGTCACAAGCGTGCTCCAAGGGCTCTCAAAAGCCGCCTTCCGCTGTGCCAGGGCCAGTGTGTGCGGCGGCTGTGCATGCAGGGACGTAACAGGGCCATGCTCATACTCATGCTCACTGCGTTGCTGCATTCTGCTCCTAGACTTGCTCTCTTTCCTTCCATTCTTCTCGTTTCCCCCCTTGCCCTCCTTGCTCTGCCCCCACTGCTTCCACTGCACAAACGCCACAAGCTGAGGCACTCTAAGGGAGGGAGACTCAATGGGGGGCAAAGGTAGTCCGGGAGATGAAGGAGGAGGAGGAGGAGGAGGAGGAGGAGGAGGAGGAGGAGGAGGAGGAGGAGGAGGAGGAGGAGGAGGAGGAGGAGGAGGAGGAGGAGGAGGAGGAGGAGGAGGAGGAGGAGGAGGAGGAGGAGGAGGAGGAGAAGGAGGAGGAGAAGGAGGAGAAGGAGGAGGAGGAGGAGGAGGAGGAGGAGGAGGAGGAGGAGGAGGAGGAGGAGGAGGAGGAGGAGGAGGAGGAGGAGGAGGAGGAGGAGGAGGGTGATGGAGCGGGCAGAGTTTGACAGCAGCGCGGGCCACAGCAGGGTGGAGCTGCAAGGCAGCCTCCACCTCCCCCAGATGCACCCTGCGACCCCCCACCTTCACCACCCTCTGCCCCTGCTGCCGCCCGTACACCACAAAAACCCCACCCGTCCTCCCCTGCTCATGGCCTTCATGCCCCTCAAGTCGCTCTTGCCTCTCACGTCGCTCTTGCCCCTCGCGCAACCCTTGCCCCTCACGTCGCTCTTGCCCCTCACGCAACCCTTGCCCCTCACACCCCTCTTGCCCCTTGTCCACTGGGCGGTGGTGACGCATGGGGTGTGAGGAGGGGCATGGAAAAAACGCAGCAGCATCACCAGTGCGATACATCATCACAGGACCTCCCCCCCTAGCGCATCCACCCGCCTCCTCCCCACCCCCCTCCCACTCGCACGTGCCTCTCCCATTTTCTCCGCCACTCACCCTTCCCCCTGCGCCCTCGCCCTCTGTAGAGCCCACAGCAGTGCCACCGATGGGGCTGAGCAATGCAGCGCGCGCAGAGGCGGTGAGATGGGCGGGGACAGGGACGAACGCAGCAGTAGCGGAAGGAAATGCAGCAGGTGCAGGGGCAGCAGCAGCATTAGCAAGAGCGGCAGCAGAAGCAGCAGCAGGAGGAGCAGAGTAAAGGGATGATTCCCCCCCTCCCCTTCCCCCTGGGAGCACGAGGTCGCCCAGGTAGCCTGCAGCAAGCCCCACGCCAGCCACATGACTTTTGAGACGTCTCAAAAGCCCCCCTCCCCTTCCCCCTGGGAGCACGAGGTCGTCTAGGTAGCCTGCAGCGAGCCCCACGCCAGCCACATAGAGCTCGCCCATGCATGCGGGGGGGAGAGGCTGCAGTGTGTGTGGGTCCAGCACTGCTGCCCACGTGTGTGGTAGCGGCACCCCCACCGGCACCACTGCAACCGTGCTGCTGCTGCTGATGGTGCTGCTGCTGGTGCTGCCGCCGGCACTAGTGGTGTTGGTTTCAGGCTTGGTGATTGGAGGCATGGGCAAGGATGGGGAGGGAGAGGCAGAGTGGCGGTGGTGGGAGAGCAGTGACGAGGCATCGAAGAAGAGACAGTCACCCGACACCTGCAGGTTGAATAAAACCAAAGTGGGGTGGGAGGAGTAGGAGATAGGGGACGGCATGAGCACAGGCATGGGCATGGGCATGGGAATGGGTATAGGGATGGTCAGCGTGTGCACAGACCAAGTGTTCAAAAGCAGCACCTCCCCATAAAGAATCCCCAACATGCACCCACCTCATGGGTGGGCGTTCAGTGTACCTCTGTGTTGGGCGCATCACATGGGCGGGCGCACATCACCTCAGAGACGACTTTTGAAACGTCTCAAAACTCAGTGGGCGCATCACATGGGAGCACGTCACCTCAGTGGAGCCGTAGAGGTTGAGTAGGCGGCATGAGGGGTGCAGCAGGGGTTGCAGTTGGTGCACGAGAGCCACTGTCAACGGCTCTCCACTGCTCACCACCACTCGCAATCCCTGCATGCCGCTGCGCCCTCCACTCTTTGATACACCTGCTGCTGCATCAGCTGGTTTGCCTGCTGCTGCTGATCCTGCCCCTTCTGTCCCTCCTGCTGCTGCTGCTGCTGCTGCTGCCACCACTTGTGTAAGGGGTGTTACCATATCAGCCGCTGCTGCAGCAGCTAGGATGCTGAGCAGGGAGGGTGAGGCCACGAGGCGGGTCACAGGGAAGGACTGCACGCAGAGAGGGTGAAGGGAGGCGGGGGCCATACGACGACGTTGAGCAAGACGCAGTGCAAATCGTTGGCTACTCTGAGACAATGCACTGCCCAACAGCTCGAGATGTGGAAATAAACACTTCCTGCCACGCTGCCACGCTGCCACGCTGCTGTGTGCACTGACAACCTCTGCTGATGAACAACCTTGGAAAGCAGTGAGCTCCTCACTCCGCTAATCCCTATAACCCCACCTCTTCCCGGGATGGATGGTTCCTCACAATGCTAAAAAACCACCGCATCACCGCGCCTCACAATACCTCACCACACTTACCTGTGCCACGCTGCACCTGCGCAGGGCTGCGGTGCGGTGTGCGTGCTGACCTGCAGGATGCGCGAGAGCGAGGCGGGGGAGTGCAGCAGCAGGCGAGGCGGCGGCAGCAGCAGCGACGAGGCGAAGAGGAGAGCAGCGAGCGAGGCGGTGAGATGATCGATGAATGACACAGGCGAGCACAGCAGCGCCACGTCCGAGGACGCCAGGCCAGCACTCACACCAGAGGGACGTGCACGGTGAGAGGGGTGAGAGGGGTGAGATGGGTGAGATGGGTGAGATGGGTGAGATGGGTGAGTAGGATGGGAGGGGTGGGAGCGATGAGTGGCGGAAGGGACAGGAGGGATGGGAGGGACGAGAGGGACGGGAGAGTGGTGTGGGAGAGGTGGGGCGGAGGAAGTAGGTGAGTGGAGCGGGGGAGAGTGAAGGTGGGAGAGAGTGGGGCCGGGTAGAAGTGGGTAATTGGCTTGCATCCAGAGCAGGCGATTCAGAAGACCTGACAGGGATGGGGAAATGATGATAAGGATGAGGAGCAAGGAGGAATGGAAGCTGAGAATGTGGTGCGGTGAGGGGAGACAAAGGAAAGGGAAGTGAAGTAGTGTCATTGGGAAGGTAGCAGGAGAAGATATGAAAAAGCCAGCGACTGCATGACGGTTGGATCGAATGCAAGCAAGAAGAAATGCACTCTTGAGATGTGCACTCTTGAGAAGTGCACTCTTGAGAAGTGCACTCTTGAGATGTGCACTCTTGAGAAGTGCACTCTTGAGAAGTGCACTCTTGAGATGTGCACTCTTGAGAAGTGCACTCTTGAGATGTGCACTCTTGAGATTTGCACTCTTGAGAAGTGCACTCTTGAGAAGTGCACTCTTGAGATGTGCACTCTTGAGATGTGCACTCTTGTGATGTGCACTCTTGAGATGTGCACTCTTGAGATGTGCACTCTTGAGATGTGCACTCTTGAGATGTGCACTCTTGAGAAGTGCACTCTTGAGATGTGCACTCTTGAGATGTGCACTCTTGAGATGTGCACTCTTGAGATGTGCACTCTTGAGATGTGCACTCTTGAGATGTGCACTCTTGAGATGTGCACTCTTGAGATGTGCACTCTTGAGATGTGCGACTATATGGTGTGATGCATGCAGCGTATGTACACGTACGAGGCAGTGAAAAGGCACAGGCGTGTGAGCGTGTGCAGGAGAGGAGACTACTGCACTGCTCCTGGCATGTGGCGGTCCTGCACTCACCCACCCACCCACCCACCTGCCTCGGTGCCGCACACTTTTGAGTCGACTCATAAGTCCACCCACCCACCTGCCTCGGTGCCGCACACCCCTTTGGGAGTGGCCGTGGAGCCAGAGGTCCACATCACGTAGCAGTACCTGCCCCCCTCTGCACCGCCGCTGCCTTCACTGCTGCTGCCACTGGCAGCTGTAGCATGTCCAGCAACGCAGCCGGTAGAAGCATGAGGGGGAGGAAGGCAAGGAGGAGGTGGGGTAGGAGGAGGAAGATCAGAGGCAGCAGTAGCAGCAGCAGCAGCAGCATGTCCAGCAGCAGCGGTGGTAGAAGGAGCGAGCTGTGCTGTGTGCATTTGAGCTGACTTGGCTGCGTGTGTGTGAATGTACTGCGATGCACGCTGCACCACCCCCTGAGGGAAACACAGCGTGCGAACCAGCAGAGAACCATCTGCTGCTGCCCGGGGTAACCATGGCGACGACAATGATGGTGGTGGAGGGGGAGCGGGGGAAGGGGAAGGAGGCAGGGGAGGAGGAGGCGGAGGAGCATTGAGGCGAGTATAGAAAACAGCCACTCTGCCAAGAATGGGATCGACATCCCAATTCACTTCCGCATCCTCCTCCCACTCCTCACTACCCTCCTCCTCCTCCCACTCCTCCTCCTCCTCCTCCTCCTCCTCCTCCTCCTCCTCCTCCTCCTCCTCCTCCTCCTCCTCCTCCTCCTCCTCCTCCTCCTCCTCCTCCTCCTCCTCCATCTCTCCGCACCTCCCCTCCCGCGTGTTCCCCACCAAACCTTGTCCACCCACTGCGGCTGACACTGACACCGCGCTTCCACGAGCACAACGAACCTCCTTGCCACCACCACTTCTCTTCCCCCACATCCTCCCCTCTCTGCCTGAAATACCCCCACCCTTGCTGCTGCCGGCATCCTTGCTCTCCCCCTCACCACCACCAGCACCACCAACAGCAACAGCAACAGCAGCAACACCAGCACCAGCACCAGCGCCACCACCACCACCAGCACCAGCAGCACCACCACCACCGCCGCCGCCGCCGCCGCCGCCGACGCCAGTCGCCCTGCGCCTGCCTCTCCCCCTTGCACGCACCTGCGGCCACCCGCTGCCAGCCTGGCACACGATGAGGCACGGCTGGGAGCGCCACGCGAGGTCAGCGCAGCGGCGGGGAGGCAGCGAGACCACGTCTATGGGGCACACGGCGATGGGACGACGCGGGGCGGGTGACGCGGGAGGGGGAGCGGAAGGGGGAGAGGAATGGGGAGCGGAAGATGGAGCAGAAGAGGGAGCGGAATGGGGAGCGGAAGGGGGAGCGGAAGGGGGAGCGGAAGGGGGAGCGGAAGTGGGAGCGGAAGGGGGAGCGGAAGGGGGAGCGGAATGGGGAGCGGAAGGGAGAGGGGGAGAGGGAGCGGAACGGGGAGCGGAATGGGGAGCGGAAGGGGGAGAAAGGGAGGAAGGCGGCGGGCAGAGGCATGCGAGGAGCGTGGCGAGGTAATCAGCTGTGAGCTCCATAGCCACCACCACCCTCGCCGGCGCTTCTCTTTCCTCTTTCCTGCTCGCTCCATCCGCCTCATCTCCTCCTGTGTCCTCTTCGACTCCACTTCCCCGCCGGTTCAACCGCGGCCAGCCATCCTCCTCAGGTTCCCTTGGCGGCTTCTTACTGAGCTCCGCGCCTGCCATTGGTTCATCTGCGGCGAGCCCGTCCGCCCTCCCTGCTCCTCGCGGCACCGGACTATCGGGATTGCCGAGGCATGTATTTGCGCTCCCCTCCCCTTGGGTCGCCATTGCGACCCGGGCTTTGTTGGTTCCCAGTTCCGCTGCCGTGACGTGGCGCCGGATGCAGGCACCAATTCTGTCGGAGGCCAGTCGCATCGCGCCAACTGTGAACATCCGCGCACCTGACGCGTCATTCGGCCACTGGCAGGAACCGGTGACGTGGGCTGCTGAGCTCCCACGTGTAACTCCCGTCCGTTCTGAATCATTCTCCTGCCGTTGCGGTTCCCCCTTGGTGCTCTGTCCCCTACCCAACGGACGGTCCGCGGAATCCTGAATCCCTGGAGCAAGTATCGCTTCATTATGATGAGGAAGACTTAAGGATGAGTGTGGACACGTGGAAAAAGCAGTCATTTCCGCGAGTACCTTAGCCGGAACGCGTCGAGCGTGACGGATTCCTTTGCTTGGCGAATCCAACGCGGATTGACCTTCGCAGCCTGACAGCTCTATCACGGCTACTCGGTCATTATTGGCCGCACATGATTCATCCCAAACCGCCCGTAAGCTGCTTGCGCTGTACATCGCGTGGCGCGGAGCTGTTGTGGTTGTGTGTTAGTGTTTGGCACAGAACTTCGATCATCAGCGAACTGCAACGGCAAAGAGTGTCCCGCTGCAATGGTCTGAGTGTGATGAACGGATACAGAGCTCCTTTTAGGCCCCTTGGCCTAAATCCGCTAAAGATTAGCGGGGTCTACTAAGTCTAGGATGAAAGCGCGGCGGAAGACTTTGGCGAAAGAACTATTGAAGAGTTGAATGAGAATTGGTTGATAATGTCAAGTACAAGCAAGGTTAAAAGCCGGCAGCCCAAATTGCACAACTTTTAAAAGCTTGACGCGGGGGGAAGTTTTCTGGTCTGGGGTTTGGCGAAAGTTTTCGATTTCAGTTCTTTCGTTTTTTTTCGCCAAACCCAGCCCGCCCTCGTATTTCGCTCTGGGGGTTGGTTCAGTCCCCGTGTCAGAGGTCCACTGCAGATCCCCGATTGATCCTAGGGAAGGGTTACATGCATGTTGGCCTAGGGGGTTATGGGCGCACTTACCCGCTACACAAACAAGCCCTTTTATCCCAATGGTCTAGTGGTTGGGATCCTGACATGGTATCAGAGCGAAGGTCTCGGGTTCGAATCCTAGTGTGTGCACTTTGGGCATCCCAGTGCGGGGGGGTGTCAGAGGTCCACTGGAGATCCCCGATTGATCCTAGGGAAGGGTTACAGGCATGTTGGCCTGGGGGGTTATGGGCGCACTTACCCGCTACACAAACAAGCCCTTTTATACCAATGGTCTAGTGGTTGGGATTCTGACACCCCGAAAGTCCCAAACTGCAGGCGCGCTTTTTTTCAAACCTTGCAAGCACTAGTTCGTCAAATTTAGAAAGCTTGCTTTCTTGTGTTTGCAATGGCAACAAGCTTCGTTTCAAATGGGCATTACAACATTCTCGTCCTGCTTATATATGGTACCTACATTACAAGTTACAACTTGCAATTTTTGCTAGGGTGGGTTGCCGATACAACCAAAGGATCCAGTAGATAGGATAGGGTCTGTTAAGTCTGAGAGGAGACAAAGAAGTCTCTGTAGTGACCTTGTTGAATAATAATTGAAAGAGAACAAGATGATTGAAAGATAGGGGTACAAGAGATTAAATAGAAATCTAGCTAGCCATGTACTTTGAGGGGTACATTCCCTTATCAACTGTATTGCATAACTACAGTAACCGCGACTATTGCTATCCTCGACAGTTACCATGTTGCAGTGAATTAACTGTCTCGCGGTTACTGGATCGTCAAAGGTCACGACCGTTGACTTCCTCAGACGGTTGACCTTCGGGTGACCCTCGACATTCCGCATGCTCTATATGAGCTATTGCGGTACTGGTACAGTGGAGCAGCTTCGGGAATGCTTTATATAACCTTTCGGTTGTTTCAACACTCCCCTTCATTCCTGAAGGTGGGCCACGTGGGATTTCTTGGTGATCCCGCAGAGGTCGGCGCAACGTTGGTACTGCTGACGTGGCAGCTTCTTTGTCAAGAAATCAGCTGCCATGTCACCGGTTGGGCAGTACGCCAGCTTGACTCTCCCCTTGTCGATTTCATCCTTCACGAAGAAGTAGCGAAGGGCGATGTGCTTGGTGCGGTTTACGAAGCCGGGCTTGTTCGCGATCTTTATCGCGCTCTGATTGTCGCAGAGTAACGTGAAGTGCCCGTTCATCGTCACTTTCGCCTCTTGCAGGAGCTCCATCAGGTACAGTCCTTCGCGAACAGCTGCGCTAGCTGCGATGAATTCTGCTTCTGCAGACGAAAGAGCGATAAGTTCCTGCTTCTGAGAGTTCCAGGAGATGAGTCCCGCAGGCTGGAGTTAAAAAATAAATCCTGTGCGGGAGCGTCGGTTGTCAACATCTCCAGCGTGGTCGGCATCTACGTAGCCATGGAGCTATAGAGTAGCGGTGAGGTTAGCTTTGTAGGTGAGACCGACGTCGGGGGTGGAGATGAAAAACTGTAGTGCTCGGCGTAGATCCTGTAGATTCTCCCCTCCAGGTCGCTTCAGGTACTGTGCGAGCTGGCTTGCGACGTAGGAGAGATCGGGCCGGCACGTGACGGCGGCGAACAGGAGACATCCCAGCTGCTGCTGATAGAGACGATGGTTGTCGGGAGAGAGCGGTGTGGTGTCTGGCTCGTGGTTGGGAGGAGGAGTGCGGTAGGGGGTGGTGAGGTTGATCGGTGCGATGGCGAATCGCTTCGCGAGTGTTTCGGCGTACTTGGCGGCGGAGAGGTGAATGGAGGAGGCGGACTGAGTCACATTGAGGCCGAGAAACTGTGTGACGTTGTGGTTTACTGTCACCTCCAGCTTCTCCTTGATGTCAGCCTCAAACTGGTCTAACAGCTCCGTGTCGTCGCCGGTGTAGAGAAGGTCGTCGACGTAGGCGACGAGGAGGATGAATTTCCCGCGCGATTCTCGCCTGTACATTCCGAGGTCGTGCGGCAGCTGAGTGAAGCCGAGCTCAAGTAGGACGGAATGGAGGTACTGCTGCCACAGACGAGGTGCCTGCTTGATTCCATAGAGGGATTTTTGGAGGAGGCACACAGCGCCATCGTTTTCTTCGAATGCGTGCGGCTGCTCGACGAAAATTATGGCATCGACAGGGGCGTATAGGAAAGCGCTGCCGACGTCGATTTGCTGGAGCGGTCGCTGTTTGATGGCGGCGATGCAGAGAAGAATCCGCACCGAGGTGTGGCGGCCGACTGGAGCGTAGGTGAGAGTAAAATCCACCAGGTGCGCTTGCTCAAATCCCCGCACCACCCAACGCGCCTTGTACTTGTCGACCGAGCCATCTGCGAGAGTTTTGATGCGAAAAACCCATTTGCCGCTGAGAATTTTTCTTCCTTTTGCCGATGACCGAGGGACTAGCTTCCAGGTGCCACGTTTCTTCAGCGACGCGATTTCGGCGGCCATGGCTGCTCTCCATTTTTCACTGTCAGGGCCAGACAGGGCTTGGCGGATGGTGGTTGGTTCCTTGGGCGAGGTGTGGCGAACAGCGACGGCGAGGCCGAGAACGCGGAGACCGGTTTCGTCAGACTTTTCGTAGTGAATGCGGTCGTAGTCGTGGAAGCTGGTAACTTCGACCACGTCGTCATCGCTGTCGTTGCCGAGGCGGAGGGTATCCTGCGACGTGTTGGGTTGTGGTAACTCGGCATCAGGCGATCAGCGCGCCTCACTGTTGTAGTCATGAGCCTCGCGTGTTATATCGTCAGGATCGGGTTGGTGTAGAGGTACGAATATTGGAGTCCCGAATTGGCTTGTGAGGGGGATGCTCGGAGCGGAGTCCATTGGGGTGACATCAGGTGCGTCTGCATCCTCGGCCAGGTCAGCTTCGTCGTGTGACGTGGCGAAGCTGCGGTGGCCCTCGAAGAGCCTCTCGGGCAGTTTGTCGGCTTCCTGGTGCTCCTTGAAAAGGGGCAGAGTCAGCTTCTCGTAGAAGATGCAGTCACGTGATTTCGTTACCTCGTGTGTCGCGTAGTCCAGCACGATCCACGCCTTGAATTCCTTTTCGATCCCGAGGTGGATGCCCCATCGTGCCTGGTCAGCAAATTTTCCGGTTCTCGCAGTGTGGGGTCTGTACTGTACCATGCAGCCAAACACCCGAAGCAGGCGTGTATCTGCTTTTCTGCCCGTCCATGCCCGGTAGGGAGAGTTGTTGTTCTCGAGGCTTCGCGAGGACAGCAAGTTGTGCAGCCGAACAGCGTGATTCATCGCAAACCGCCAATATTTTGTTGGGATGGCCGGCTGCTTCATCAGAGCCCTCATCCGCGTGGCGAGGCTTCTGTTTGTCCGTTCTGCTACTCCTTGCTGTTGGTGAGCATAGGGCAAGGACACCAGGTGCTCAATCCCCTTCTGCTTGAAGAGCTCCTTGAACTCGTCTGAGAAGAACTCCAGGGCTCCGTCTGTCTGCCAAGCTTTGAGTTTTAGACCGAACTGTCGCTCAGCCTGCTTCATCCCCGCAATGAAGCACTCGAAAGCCAGCGACCTGCAGTCGGTGTTGACGGCCTAGACGTAGCGCGTAGATGCGACGATGAAGGTAAGTGTGTACTGCTCCCCGTCGAGCCCTTCCTGGCTGAGCACCATAAAGTCACTGTAAACCTTGTCCAGCGGCTTGTAGCGTTCGTACCCTGCGGGCAGATCGGGGAACGGCTGGTGGTTGAGCGACGCGGTTGGGCAGACGATGCACGGCGGGTTAGGCGAGTCCGCGGTGAAGGAACCGTCTCGTGGAAGCAGGAGCGCTTCGTTGTCGAAGACTCCGGCCTTGAGCGAGTTTTTGAGCGTAGCGTGGGAGGGATGTCCGAGCCGTTGGTGCCATGTTCCTGGGTCCGCGCGGTAACCGACTGTCTTCTGATAATATTTTTGTCGCGCTGCTTCGTC